TCTTTCTACAATACTAAAAGGACGTTTCACAATAAATAAGGTAAAAAAAACGGTGTTATGTATAACGTGGTCTCTGACATTTCCACCTACCTACTAAAATTATTTGAGAGAAGGAAGATCCCATTTTAACCACGTCTCCATTTCGGTCCATAAAGATGTAAACATGTTTTTGTCTCGTACTATCACACTGTCGGCCACGACACTAGAAAGAGACGTAGAGAATCGGTTTATTCTCACAACTAATGAATCGTGTCCACTGTCCGGTTCTTACGCATCTTGTACCAAATTATTATCTTCTCAAAGAATACATGTCAAAAAGTATATTTTTGTTTTTTTATACATAGCTATGTGATTAGATTTATTGTAAACATGATTAAATCATAAACACACGAAAAGATCCGAAAATTAAAACATTTTCATCTATCTGTTTCTTTAATGTCATGAAATTGGAGATAAACGTATTTGAAAATGTATTTTACCGTTTTGAAAGTTAGATCCATAATAAAATACACTTAAATGGCGTTACTTACAGCGTTTTCTTATTGGTTGTGTTTTAGTAACTTTAATATAAAACCAGATTAAGAAATCATGCTGTCCTTTTCTGGTGTAGTAGACACAAACGTGGCGATAGAGGAAGTAAGCTATATTTCTCTAGGGACTTCAAAGGCTGTGGTTGCATACAGCGGCTGACTAAACAGGTTTTTAGGGATAGCAAACATTCGGACCATGCTCTTTAATTTAAAGACTTTTGATATAATTTTCCTTTGATTTACATTGAAAATAGTATACCAGAAAATAAGTTTTAGCATGTTATACTGTTCTGTTGTAAATTTAGAGTTTTTCCATAATGTTAAATTGTGGCCATGTTTAAAAAACACCTACAATTTGATTTGTTTTCTCAAGATATTCGTAACTTAAAAACTCTAAAGCAGATAGCTGAAAAAGGTTATTGTAATAGAAATTGAAAGTTATGCCGTTTTAATAAAACCACAGTCATCCCAAGCAATGTGAGCTAACAGGAAATGTTGTTGATTTCTGTATTCAGCGCAGGCCCGAGTTGAGCTGCGCGTGCGACTCCAGTCGATCGTGCTCACCCGCCGGCGCGCAGCGGTCGCAGGACGTTACAAATTTAAATTTCAAAAATTCCGAACTTTCATCGAATACATTTAAAATTGTGTGACTTTTCACCTTTGCCTTATAGACGTTAAAACCGCCAAGTGTAAAGTGTCACAAGTGCGAAAACCCAAGTTTTTGACAATCCGTGATTTAAATATTTCTTGAAAATGTGTTATGTAGTAAAGTTTATGTGACAAGTTGCGGTTAAAGTTCACTCGCGCTCACCTCTGTGGATGTGTTGGATATTTGCAAGAATTTAAAAATTTTACTTGGTGCTATAATTTTTTCACAAGTCAGTGATTAGTGATGCACAGTAAAAACAATTGAACAAACGTTTGAACATTTAACTAGCTTAATTGATACACGGACAGGTGCGTGTTTACATAGGTTTAATTATCTTTAATTGCATTGTGATACTATAATGCAAGATAACACTATCTAGCTTTGCTATTATTTGCAATAATTTTCTAGGCTTATCTAAACTCTTCACACAGATTGCTGTCTGTATTTCAAAATTTACTGCACTATCTTTTCAAGCCTACCTAACATATTTACTTACATTCCGATACGCTAAACGTTATTTTATATAAATGTATTAAATCTACATTTTTTATTATTAATAAAATAAAATAATATAAAATATTTTAGTGTAATTCAATTTTTGGTTTCGAGCGCTTATGTTTTTTGCAATAAAAAAGTATGTTACTACTTTAACTATTGTATTATCTTCTAATTTTGAACTTGAGTTTCTAATATTTCGCACAACGAACTAAATTGGTACTGTCGTAACACAAGAATGATGGAATTGACAAAACACGATTTGAAAGTTTTGAATGGAAATTATTGAATGGAACTTAAAAAATTATATTTCCGTTAACTAATTACAATGCATAAATAAAAATAATCCCCTCAGTCGCTATAATATTCTTTCAGATTTTTTAAAATTTTACCAATCGTGTTTTCTCATTTTCATCACTTTTGAGTTACGCCAGTATTTGGATACATGTGCAATTTGGCCCTGAATTTCAGTCAGAATTTTTTATATCACAGTTAAGTACAGTGTCAATTATAATGAACAAAGTGTAAGGTTACACTTATTTATTTCTGTATTTTTTATAGCTAATTACAAATGTTCTAGAACCTTCCAATGTAATAATAAAATCGACTACATTATCCTAAACTAATTAGCTAAATGCAAATTTAAATCATATAAAATACTTAACGTTGAGTAAATAGGCATAAATTTAAAAATATATTTATTTAACCCGTTACACGTGGCACACGGTTTTGGTATCGAAGAGTCCGAAAACCACCGGTGACTTTATTTAACGCGCTGTTGTGTTTTGAGGCACAAAAAAAAGTATTTTTCCAAAAAAATTGTTAGGAACGCCGTGTGTCTCTTGGACGTGTTCAGTAAATTAAAAAATAAATTAATTATTCATTAATAAATTAATCGTTTAGTCTAAGATAAAAAAAATAATTCAAAGGTTGTGGTAAGAAGCTAGTCGTTTATATAAAGCAGGTAAATTAATTCGACCTCTCCACCTGAATTTACATATGCATTGGAAATGTGAATAAACTTGGAAGGGAACGGAGACGTTTAAAACTACAAACGGTTGAATGAGGCGATGACATTTTAAAGTTTACGCATAAATTCACAAGTAGTTAGTAGCAGTAGAGCTCCTTGTGAAAGAGTTCGTCCAGAGAAGTACTGCCACCTTACCTAGTTCCGCCGCCAAGCAGTAATTTCAGCATTACTGCGGCCCAGTTTTGAAAGGCAAGGGTGCTACTGAAATTACAGGCACATGTGACTTGTCAAGTTATGTTGAGACATCATACACCCTGAGCGGTGACGGGGGCAGTGGCAGTGAAAAGGTTATGGACAGGTACACGATTTGTTCGTCCCGTTACTTAGTGTCATAAAAAAAGGACAATATTAATTTAATTACAAATGTTTATAATGTAGGTAAAAGTTTTCACAAAGAATTTCTACGAAAATATTTTCTCTCGAAATTTTCCGACGTTCAATTGTAGAAAGAAGAAAATATGTATGTGTTTGTAACACATTTTGAATAATAAATATTGTGAAAATCTGATACCTAATGTGTTTTTGCATTTTCGCTGTTTTACATTTGTAACGGCGGGGCAATAAAATAATCAACAACATTTTTTAAAATACAAATTAAACAATTGCGAATTATATTGTAGAACACCTGGATTTTGAGGTTGCCATGTAGAGTTTTTTTTAATACCCAGTGCGGGGACAAATAGTCGTGCGCCTAGTGGTAAGCGACACTCCTGTCCATAACAGTTGCATAGCCAGTCAGAGCTTTAAAGCACAAAGATCTGAGGGGCACTGCCACTGCGCCTGTCATCATGAGACATAAGTTACCAAGTCCCATCTGCCTGTAATTTCACCAGCTCCCTTACCCTTCAAAACGAGAATGCAGTAATATTCACACATTACTCCTTGGCGGCAGAAATAGGTAAGGAGGCAGTATTTCCCTAGAAGAACTCTTTCACAAAGAGCCTACTGCTACTAAAAATTCTTTTACTGATAATGACACGTACTGCTTATTTTCCATTATTCCAAATTAATGGACGTTCAGGTATATACAGGTTTATAGCATTTAAAATATCAACGGTATCCAATTAGATATCACGATTTTGAATTAATTGCATCGTTCAATTGTCAATAATCACGTGGTACAAAAAGCATTGTCCGCCATATTTTTTTCATGACGTCACATACATGGTTCCACATTTGAACTGCTGATAGCTTCGAATTACACATTTGCATTTTCTTAGTATATTTAAAAAAAAATTGTTTTAACGAAAATGCTTTCTATTTAATATTTTATTAAATCACGTGTCAAATGAATTTCTGTTTAGTAACAGTTGGAAACAATAGCTTGAATTATATAAATGTTTATTTAGAACCATAAATTAAAACGAGAACTTAAATTTACCGTGAGATTTTCCGATTTGGTTCCACGTGGTTCTCTCTTCGCAGAGTCATCGATAGATCATCATGGAAACATCAGATTTTTCGCGAATTCCTTATACGGCGAGGCAGTGGTCAAAATTTGTTGAAGATATAAATGTTCACCGCCAGACCGCCACCATCGCTTCCATTGCCTAAAGTGATAACGGAGGAATTTTAGAGACCGGGTTGTTCATATTAGAATTATTGAATTAATTCCAGAAAGAAAGGCTAAAAAACAATACAAGTCTTCAAGAAATAATTTGGTGTAAATTATGTTATCAGACCTTTTTTAACAGTCATTGAATTAAGTTTAGGGGTAAAAGACCGCGTTATTTTCAAGTGCTGGGTTAAAAGACCGGAAAACTTTTAAATTTTTAAAACGTTACTAGACTGTAAAACTTTTAAGCGTTTTGACAACAAATAACGAAATTTTTAAACTTTAGGTTAAAAGAATGTAACACTTTTAAACGTGAAGTTAAAATACCGCAACATGTTTAAGGTATTATAAATATGTGTGTAAACAGTTTATTAAACCACAATATAAATTACAAATTTTAACAAACAATTTTAAGTGTTAATGTACAAAGGCAAGCTTTTCTTATAAAGGGATTTCTTCAAACTAACCATTGTTGAGTATCATTACCGAAAAAGGTCTTGTAAGCGTAAAAACGTTCTAAAGGATATTTAAAAATTATTTTTACCTAATTAAAATAATCTGTATGTTATTTTGAAAAAGATCTATTATCTAGAGTCAGTCTGATACTGCAAAATTGTCTTTAATACCGTAAAATGCATTTTCGGCTTTGACGAGATCAATAAATAAAAATTACGTCAAAATGTCAAACTAGAACAGAAACAACATAATTATGTACATATCTGTAGGTGAAAAGTATAATGAAAGTAATAATGACCTTAAGTTCATATTTTGGAATTCATATGTTTTTACAAACATTCCTTTAGTGTGCTAAAAATCACGCAATGGAAAAAGACATTAATTGCTAACATCGTTTGTTTTTTATTCAACATATTCTATTCGAGCCCCTTAAGGTTGATTTTAAATTCCTAATCTAAAATAAAAATAAAATCTGTAGTAAAAAAAACTATCTGGCACTTAAAGTTCTTTACCTCCACGTACGGATACGTATATGATGTCCCGTTTTTTGTTTGAAATTTAAACACCATTAAAAGAAGAATTGCAAAAATTATATATTTTTTATTAAAATCGTTAGGAACACTGAGTGTCTTTAGCCTTAACCCGCCACGCATCGTGATAAGGTTAAAAAACAAAATAGTCATATTTTTAATTACAACTATAAAATGTATCTTCTAAATACCACAGTAAAGAAATTTCTAGTTACATATGCAACTTATAGAACTATATATAATACAGTAATTCCGGGATTTCAAAGAAAGGCATCCGCTCTATATGCATTAATTTCTTGAAGTTAAATAAAATATATTCCCGTTTTTATTTCTCTGTTTCTCATCCTTTCTTTAAGAGGTAATACATACACTGTAACGCTTTCATTTCTAAAGCAAAAAAATATGTACAGGACAGAAATAAATAAATTGTTCCACATGTTTGACCAAGTTATTGTACAGTACGACTTTTCAAGACGTGGTAGCCTAATGATTTAACCCATCACCTCTGAATAAGAGGGTCTAAGTTTAAGTATTTCAAAATTTAAGTGTGCAATTTACTGAGCATTTCGGTGAAGGAAAACATCGTATGTAAAGTTCCTAATCCACATTTTCTCCGCGTGGGAACTACAACCCAATTATGAGAGGAGACCTGCACCCAGTAGTGGGACTGTACATAGGCTAACTATTTATTTATTTCATCATCATCATCATGTCAGCCGGAAGACGTCCCCTGCTGAACATAGGTCTCCCCCAAAGATTTTCAGACCAGCCGATCGGACTCGACGTGCATCCATTACCCGCCGCCCTTACCAGGTCATCCGTCCATCTAGTAGGGGTCGTCCCACTGAACGTCTTCGGGTTCGTGGTCTCCATTTTCTTAGAATTTTTCTGCACCAACGGCCGCCAGTTCTACGAGCAATGTGCCCTGCCCAGTGCCACTTTAACTTGCCAATCTTTCGAGCTAGTCGGTGATTTTCGTTCTTCTACGGATCTCCTCATTTCTGATTCGATCACGTAGAGAAATGCCGTGCATTGCTCGCTCCATACCTCATTGAGTGACTTTGAGCTTTTTTATGAGGCTCATAGTATGTGACCACGTCTCAGAGCCGTAGATTATTTATTTATTTATTTACTTTTACAATGTATCTCCGTTTTTTGATCTGGATTTGTCTGAGAGCCCTGTTGGTGTCATTGTAGAGGCATTAGAGTAAAATTTTCCTCTCAAAATTACTTTGGAGGTTA